GTTCTAATTACTCTATTTGTTCAAATTTTTGACAGTTCAAGTTGCTCCGGAGTATGTAGAGTAACCAAATTGCTCGGAATTATATTCTTTTTGACTCTACTGATTCAAATATTGTGTTCGGAGTAAGATTATTTAAAAATAAAAGGAGTCAACTCCAAAAGTTCCAAAACCTTTGAAATGAGTTATTATCACTCTATTTGGCAAATTTACGCTGAAAAAGAATATTCGAACAGTTAGAATGATATGGAGTACTCTGGAGGGCCCAAGTCATTCCAAATCGTATTCTTTTTGACTCTTTCATATTGCACTAATTGTTTTCAAAGTAAATAAAGTAAAAATATTTGCACTTGCAAGTGTGTTTTAGTTACTCTGTTTACACTAAAAAGTTATTTCTGAACAGTTAGAGCAGCTACTTTATTAGTTCGGGTAAGGTTTTGGAGTAAACGCGCGTTCGATGTAAAAAGAGTAGCTACTTTAGCTGTTCGGAAATGGCTTTTTAGTGTGAATAGAGTGGTTAGAGTAATTAAAACACACTCACGAGGTGAAAGGATCTTACTCTATCTACTCCGAAAACAATAAGTGCACTATAAAAGAGTCAAATAGAGTACAATTTCCAAAGACTTAGGCCCTCCAGAGTACTCCGTATTTGCTCTAACTGATCGATTATTTTTTTTTAGCATCAATATACGGACTAGAGTAATTAGAACTCGCTCTAAAGGTTTTACCACGTGATCTGATACATTTGGAGTTTAGTTTTTTTTGTTAACCGAGTGCAAGTAATCCGACTCCACTCACTCCAAACACAAGATTCAAATCAGTGGATCATAGAATAGTTAAAAGGAGTACAATTTTTGGTACAACTCCGTAAGTACTCCAAGTTCTGTGCTTGAACGTAAATAATCTCACTTCGAGTAAAGTACATAAACCGATCAAGTAGAAAAATGCAAAGAGTAAACTTTAAACGTTCCAATTCGCTTAGAAGTAGAGTCAGAACAGTGTTTTTGGAGTAAAAAGAGCAATTCAGAGCAGTTTTTTAATTTCCTCGTTGTATTCTTCTATACTCCACCGGTAAGAACATTCGATTCCAATTTTCATTCTGGAGTAGAATCAATACAATAGATTTTACTCCGAGTGAAATGTTTAAATCAATGGAGCACTTTTTTGATTTTTTTTTTGCTCTGGGTCAGCCGATAAGCAATCCTGTAAGTGTGTATTATGGGTTGAATGCACTCATCATCATAGTACAAACCGCTGTTTGGCATTATTTAGCTCTGGGTTACTCTGAAAACATTGTTCTGTTTACTCCGAATAGAAATCTTTAGTTCTAAATCCATTTTCAGTGCGCACAGTTTACTTTAGAACCATTCGGAATAAAATTCTAACTCAAAGTAAATTTAGAAAATATAGGTTTTGTGTTCAGGAAAATGAAAATGAATCAATAATCTTCAAAAATGTGTTCCAGAGTAGAAAAAGTAAAGTAACAGTTCCAAAACATTCAAAAAAATGAGAATTTCGAGACAAAATATGACTGTTTTAGAACAAATTATTATTCAGAGCTGTTCCAAACGATTCAAGATCAATGAAATCACTCCTTGATAAGCTTGGAACAATAACAGAACAGCTCTAAAACCATTTGGAGCACGATATATATCAAATTTTTCGCATTTGTGGCTGTTCTAGAACAATTTGGAGTGGGTGCAGCTGAAAGTTTTTACTCTAAATACAAAGTCCGAACCGGTGAAGCTCTTTTCACTCTAATAAAACTGTTCTGACTCTACTCTAGCATGTCATAGTTTACCACTTGAACGGTAATACTCTTACTCTATTCACTCCGAATACAAAACCCAAACCGGTGAAGTTCATTCCAAGATGCCACTTTTTTTTAGCTCGTTTCACTCTAAAAATAGTGTTCCGACTTGGAATATACTCTTTCTACTCCTTTTTTGCTCCGAGTAAAATAACCAAATTGTTGAAATTTTTAATACAAAAACAAAAATAATCTTACTCCGAGCAAAATATCCGAATCATTAGAGTGCAATTTAAGAACAGTGATCTGACATTTTTTTTGCTCTGAGTCAGTGAAAAACTGTTCTGAACACGAAACGTGAATACAAAGCCCGAACAATGGAGTAACTATCACTCATCTAAAATGCTCCCAAATGTCAAGCCAACCCAAGCTCGTTCTACTCCAACGCAAATTGGAGCGTTTAGAGATTACTCTCTTTACTCCTTTTAAATGTTGGAGTAACGTCCGAACAATATTTTTTAGAGTGAGGAGAGCAAAAAAAAAAAACAAAGTAAGATTATTGGCATACGAGTAGAAAGAGCATAATCCAAATATTCCAATTCAATTAAAATTAAAGTCAGAACAGAGCGATCTGGAGCTGAAAAATGTCAATCAGCGACTTTTTTGTATTCGACTATTTTACTCCGAGTAAACGGAGTAAGATTAATAACTCGTTTCTTTTTCAATAATCGGTTTTCAGGTAAAAATCCAAATTTTAAACAATTTTCGAGGTTGCTGAAAACCTAGTTCTAGACGCTCTTATAGTTCTAATTACTCTATTTGTTCAAATTTTTGACAGTTCAAGTTGCTCCGGAGTATGTAGAGTAACCAAATTGCTCGGAATTATATTCTTTTTGACTCTACTGATTTAAATATTGTGTTCGGAGTAAGATTACTCAAGAATAAAAGGAGTCAACTCCAAAAGTTCCAGAATCTCTGAAATGAGTTATTATCACTCTATTTTGCAAATTTACGCTGAAAAAGAATATTCGAACAGTTAGAATGATATGGAGTACTCTGGAGGGCCCAAGTCATTCCAAATCGTATTCTTTTTGATTCTTTCATATTGCACTAATTGTTTTCAAAGTAAATAAAGTAAAAATATTTGCACTTGCTAGTGTGTTTTAGTTACTCTAACTACTCTGTTTACACTAAAAAGTTATTTCTGAACAGTTAGAGCAGCTACTTTATTAGTTCGGGTAAGGTTTTGGAGTAAACGCGCGTTCGATGTAAAAAGAGTAGCTACTTTTGCTGTTCGGAAATGGCTTTTTAGTGTGAATAGAGTGGTTAGAGTAATTAAAACACACTCACGAGGTGAAAGGATCTTACTCTATCTACTCCGAAAACAATAAGTGCACTATAAAAGAGTCAAATAGAGTACAATTTCCAAAGACTTAGGCCCTCCAGAGTACTCCGTATTTGCTCTAACTGATCGATTATTTTTTTTAGCATCAATATACGGACTAGAGTAATTAGAACTCGCTCTAAAGGTTTTACCACGTGATCTGATACATTTGGAGTTTACTTTTTTTCGTTAACCGAGTGCAAGTAATCTGACTCCACTCACTCCAAACACAAGATTCAAATCAGTGGATCATAGAATAGTTAAAAGGAGTACAATTTTTGGTACAACTCCGTAGGTACTCCAAGTTCTGTGCTTGAACGTAAATAATCTCACTTCGAGTAAAGTACATAAACCGATCAAGTAGAAAAATGCAAAGAGTAAACTTTAAACGTTCCAATTCGCTTAGAAGTAGAGTCAGAACAGTGTTTTTGGAGTAAAAAGAGCAATTCGGAGCAGTTTTTTTAATTTCCTCGTTGTACTCTTTTATATTCCACCGGTTCGAATATTGGATACCAATTTTCATTCTGGAGTAGAAACAATACAATAAATTTTACTCCGAGTAAAATGTTTAAATCAGTGGAGCACTTTTTTGAATTATTTTTACTCTGCACTCATTATCATAGTACAAACCGCTCTTTGACATTATTTACCTCGAGGTTACTCTAAAAACACTGTTCTGTTTACTCCGAATATAAATCTTTAGTTCTAAATCCATTTTCAGTGCACAGAGTTTACTCTAGAACCATTCGAAATAAAATTATTTCTAACTTAAAATAGGTTACTTGCTGTTCTAGAGTGGGTTTGTACAGGTACTCGAAAAAACTTGAAAATACAAAGTGCTCCAGAGTGAGTTTTTAAAATTGTTCAGAACAATTTGGAGCATTAAGCAACATCCTTATTGGAACATCTTCACATACGTCGAAGAAAACACTCAAATTGAACTCTTTAAAAGTGCCCCAGAGTAAACTATAAATGTAAAACTCGTCTCGAAACTGTTCTAGAGTGATTTTGTAGAAGAAATCTGGATAACTTAGAACAATGAAAAATGTACAATGACCTTTTAAAAAGTGTTTAGTCAGAAGAACCTGGCCTCAAGACTGTTCGGAACAACTGAAAAGGTTAAAAAAAACAATAAGAAGTTGCTCCAAAGTGTTCTAAACACTGGGTCAAAATAAAGTGCACTAAATGAGAAATTAGAGTTGTTTTCTCGCGGTGGAATTGGTTCAATTAGGCTCGAACCTGTACTTTCTTGAGTTGAATTAGTGACGTCACATTAAACCTGGTTCGAAAAAGTTGGCTTATTCTCCCGTTGACATAAGACTGTGTTCAAAGCTTCCATTTTCCCGCGTTCACCAGTGATGACGTCATCTACAAATTGGTTTAAACCGAAAAAAACTCCTTTAGTTTTTTAAACAAAATTTTATTTACTTAGGAAGAATTTAGTTGAAATTAAAGGATTATTGACATTTTGTCTATGTTCCAGGTCAAAATACATGTGCACCGAGGCGATTTCATTTTTAAAACCTCGTACCAACGTTGATTTCAATTTACCCGATTTCCGAGTGCCTGAAATAGCATTTTCAAGTCGATTTTTATTACACTGGAGCAACAAAACGAAAACTTGTACTTGTTCCGAGTAGAAATTGAGTGCATATAATTGCTAAAAAAGTGTAATTTTGGGGCGATTTCACTTTTAAAATCGCGTATCAAGCACCTGGAATAGAAAAAAAATAACACTCGAACAACAAAACGAAAACGCTACAATTGTCAAAATATTCTCCTGTCAAATATCAGCTGGTTATATAGGGGCGATTACGTAATTACTCCGAATTTACAAAGCCTGCTTGATTTTGATTACCGTAGAAACCAGAGCAATTAGAGTAAGTTTTCAATTTCCTAAACTTGCCCTAGGACTCCTAAATAGCCCCCCTTTGTGTGTTCTAGAATGTTTGCCGCCAAAAGCCTGAAACTGGTTCCCAAATTGGGCACCCGAGGCTTGCAATCCAATGTGCTATCGGGGCCCCCTCGAGTGCACATTACCCCAATGGAAAAACTGGCCCACGGCGTCGCCATCGCCGTAGGAATTTGCACGGTGCCCGCCTGGGTTCTCGTCAACATTAAAAATTACCGGGCCCAAGAATAGAGCCCCGATAATTGTATAGTTTTGTAGGATTTAAACAATAAACTAGAAAAATTGCAACAAGTTGTTTGTTTCCAAAAAGGTTTGAGCTTTTTGGGGCCAGTTTTGGTTGTTGGTTGATCTGCGGCTGGGATGGGGCATGCAAAGGAGCCTCATTGATCCAGTTTTTGAGGTTTTCAAAACAAATTTTGAACGCTTTTCAATGTATCTGCCGATTGCAATTACAATTTCTGGCTCAAACAATTCCAGGACTTCTTTATAAGATTTATCGCAAATTGTTTCCAGCTGTTTGCAGTCCTAGAATCGATTTTTTTTAAATTTTGCTCTAGAGTAAATAGAGTAATAATAATTACTTTTAGGTCAGCTGGGGTGAGGTTTTTACCTGCTCCGTTCATAAAAGCCAAAGGGCAGTAGTTGTAGACGAAGGCATTATGGAAAAATTGCTCGGGTTCCGTGCACAAACCCTGCCAAAACTTCCAGAATCGATCCCCGCTTTGCTCTTTTTTGGTGCAAGCGAAACCTTGCACTGGCCTTTGAGGGCACTCTAGAGCAGGTTTTTGCACCGCTCCCTCGATTTTTAGCCAGTTTTTCACCCAGTTAACGTCCCCAAACGGCACTCCGGTCTGGCACATGCCAGAGGGGCTCGGATTCATGCCCACCAAAAGGATTTTTTGGTTGGAATTTGAATATTTTCTGAAACGATTTTTACTAGTGGCGCCATCTATTATTCAATCAAATAAATTACCTTAAATACAGTTCAAATGGGGCCCTGGCATATTCTGTAGGATTATAAACGTACTCCACTGGAGCCCTACGAAAATCTACTCCACTCAGGGCCTGATTCAGTGCAGATTGAATTTGAATTAGTCGGTCTGCTAAAAGGGGGCCCTCTTGAACTGGGGGCCTAATGTTGGGGAAATACCTGGAAACGTCCGAGGGGGCGCAATTGGGCAACGACAAGTCCAAAACGGCCCCCGTGTTATCGCCGAACAGCTTTTGTCGCAGCATTAATTGTTTATTGCACTAGTAAATAAATAAACAATAACCTTTATTTGTTGACAAATTGAACGTAGCGTTTTCAAAAATCTTCTTGATAATGTAATCCAGTGCACTCTAGAGCAAAACATATAGTGCACCAGAGTAAATTATCAATATTTTGATGCAGTTTTGGATGGCCTGTAAAACAGAAACCTGCACTAATTGCAATTTAATGTAAATGGTTATGGCACATACACACTCTTGTTCTACGCTAAAAAGACTGTACTGGATTCTGAACATTGGCTACGTTCACCAGAACCAAAACGGATTGTGTAAACAGGGCTGAAATCACGACAAATAAAATTCTACTTTTATGACGTCATCCTCGAACTATTTATCGCATACAGTACAGCGATAATGACGGTTACTAGGCAACCTGACGTCATGAAACTAGAATTCTAGTATAATTCTACTTCTCGTGATCCCAGCCCGGTTCACAAATACCAACAGAATACGTTGGGTAAACTCTTGGTTCTGTACTGAACGATTCATCTTTTTAATGATAGAACCTCATCCATCAAATCCCGAATTGTACCAGATTTAGTACATTTACATTTTTAGTACAATTCAACTCTATAATTTTTGAAAAATCATAAAAACCGTTTTTTCCTAATTCAATTAAGGTCAAAATCCATCAAATACCAAATTATACTAGATTTAGTACATTTACATTTTTAGTACATAATTTTTGAAAAATCATAAAACGTTTTTTAATAATTCAATTTAGATCAAAATCCATCAAATTCCTAATTGTACTAGGTTTAGTTCATTTACATTTTTAGTACATAATTTTCGAAAAATCATAAAAACCGTTTTTTAATAATTCAATTCAGGTCAAAATCCATAAAATCCTAAATTGTACTAGATTTAGTACATTTACATTTTTAGTACATAATTTTTGAAAAATCATAAAAACCGTTTTTTAAAAATTCAATCTAGGTCAAAATCCATCAAATCCCTAATTGTACTAGGTTTAGTACATTTACATTTTTAGTACATAATTTTTGAAAAATTACAAAAATCGTTTTTTATAAATTCAATTTATGTCAAAATCCATCAAATCCCAAATTGTACTAGATTTAGTACATTTACATTTTTAGTTCATAATTTTTGAAAAATCATAAAAACCGTTTTTTAATAATTCAATTTAGGTCAAAATCCATCAAATCCTAAATTGTACTAGATTTAATACATTTACATTTTTAGTACATAATTTTTGAAAAATCATAAAAACCGTTTTTTAATAATTCAATTTAGGTCAAAATCCATCAAATTCCGAATTGTACTAGATTTGGTACATTCGTATTTTTAGTAAAATTCAACTTAAATTTTAAAAAAATCATATAAACCGTTTTTTATAAATTGTACTAAATTTTAGTACATTTTTTTACGGTGTGATTTTCTAGTATATTTCCATTTTTTTTATGAAAAATTATAAAAAAACCATGTCTTCAGATTTGAAAAATTCAATTTAGCCCAAAATCCATCAAATCCCGAATTGTACTAGATTTAGTACATTTGATTTCTGGTAAAATTAATCTCTGTTTTTGATATTTTCAAAAATTGTACTAAATCTAGTACATTTCTCTTTTTTTTTCATGAAAAAATAAGTCAAATTGTAAAAAGACACTCTTTCGTCAAACAACGTGAATATGAAAAAAAAAAAATGTCTACTACATTTCAACCTTCTATTTAGTACATTTATATTTTTCTCCGAAAATTGTACTAAATCTAGTACATTTTATTTTCAGTAAAATTTCTCTATATTTCCAAAAAAACAAGCACATAAACCCCTAGGATAATAAATATATTTTTTCAAAAATTGTACTAAATCAATTTTTATTGCCGAAACTTTAGTACATTTCAGTTTTAGTATAATTTATCTTTGATCCGAAGAATTGTACGTACTCTTAAGAATGGATAATATAATGGAATAATGGAAAAAATTCATCAATAATTGTTATAAATTTATTACCATTAATTTTTACTTTCAAAAATTGTACCAAGACTAGTACATTTCATTTTTAGTACAATTTTTCATTTCAGTACAAAAAAACGAAAACACACAAACACACAAAAATCATAAAAACCGTTTTTTACCAATTCAATTTAGGTTAAAATCCATCAAATCCAGAATTGTACTAGGTTTAGTACATTTGTATTTTTAGTACATAATTTTTGAAAATCATATAAACTGTTTATTACAAATTCAATTTAGGTCAAAATCCATCAAATCCAAAATTGTACTAGGTTTAGTATACTTACATTTTTAGTACATAATTTTTGAAAAATCATATAAACCGTTCTTTACTAATTTGATTTAGGTAAAAATCCATCAAATCCCGAATTATACTAGATTTAGTACATTTACATTTTTAGTACAATTCATCTAGAATTTTTAAAAAATCATAAAAACCGTTTTTTACAAATTGTACTAAATTTCAGTACATTTTTTTACGGTGTGATTTTCTAGTACATTTCCATTTTTTTATGAAAAATTATAAAAAACAATGTCTTCTTCAGATTTGAAAAATTCAATTTGGCCCAAAATTCGCAAATCCCGAATTTTACTAGATTTAGTACATTTAATTTTTTGTACAATTAATCTTTGTTTTTGATATTTTTGATTATTGTACTAAATCTAGTACATTTCTCTTTCTTTCATAAAAAAACAAGTCAAATTGTAAAGACACTCTTTCGGCAAACAACATGAATATGAAAAGAAAAATTAATTTTTGGTTCATTTCAACCTTTTATTTAGAACATTCGATTTATAGTACAATTTATATTTTTTTCCGAAAATTGTACTAAATCTAGTACATTTTATTTTTAGTGCAATTTCTCTTTATTTCCAAAAAACGAGCACACAAACTTCTAGGTTGATGAAAAAAATACTTTTTCAGAAATTGTACTAAATCAATTTTCATTTTCGAAACTTTAGTACATTTCAGTTTTAGTACAATTTATCTTTGATCCGAAGAATCGTGCGTACTCTTAGGATAATGGAAAAAATTCATCAATAATTGTAATAAATTTAATACAATTAATTTTTACTTTCAAAAATTGTACTAAGACTAGTATGCACATTTCATTTCTAGTACAATTTCTCATTTTAGTACAAAAAAACGAACACACACAAACTCCCAGGATAATTAAAATATTTTTTCGAAAATTGTACTAAATTAATTTTCATTTCTGAAAATTTAGTACATTTAGATTTTTAGTACAATTCAACTCTATAATTTTTGAAAAATCATAGAAATCGTTTTTTACAAATTCAATTTAGGTCAAAATCCATCAAATGCAGAATTGTACTAGGTTTAGTACATTTATATTTTTCGTACAATACGACTCTATAATTTTTGAAAAATCATAAAAATCGTTTCTCACAAATTCAATTTAGGTCAAAATCCATCAAATCCCAAATTGTACTAGATTAGTACAATTTCATTTTTAGTACAAATCAACTTATATTTTTGAAAAATCATAAAAACGTTTTTTACTAATTCAATTTAGGTCAAAATCCATCAAATCCTGAAATGTATTAGACTTTGTACATTTACATTTTTAGTACAATTTAACTTTATAATTTTTTAAAAATCATAAAAACCGTTTTTTATTAATTCAATTCAGGTCAAAATCCACCAAATCCCGGATTGTACTAGATTTAGTACATTTACATTTTTAGTACAATACAACTCTATAATTTTTGAAAAATAAAAACCGTTTCTCACAAATTTAATTTAGGTCAAAATCCATCAAATCCCGAATTGTACTAGGTTTAGTACATTTACATTTTTAGTACAATTCAACTTAAATTCCATCAAATCCTGAAATGTACTAGATTTAGTACATTTACATTATTAGTACAATTTAACTTAAATTTTTTGAAAAATCACAAAAACCGTTTTTGACAAATTCAATTTATGTCAAAATCCATCAACCCCCGAATTGTACTAGATTTAGTTCATCCACATTTTTAGTACAATTCAACTTAAATTTTTAAAAATTCATAAAAACCGTTTTTTACTTATTTAATTTAGTTCAAAATCCATCAAATCTCGATTTGTACTAGATTTAATACATTTACATTTTCAGTACAATTCAACTTAAATTTTCGAAAAATCATAAAAACCGATTTTTAAAAAATTCAATTTAGGTCAAAATCCATCAAATCCTGAAATGTACTAGATTTAGTACATTTACATTATTAGTACAATTTAACTTAAATTTTTTGAAAAATCACAAAACCGTTTTTGACAAATTTAATTTAGGTCAAAATCCATCAAATCCCGAATTGTACTAGATTTAGTACATTTACATTTTTAGTACAATTCAACTCTACAATTTTCGAAAAATCATAAAAACCGTCTTTTACAAATTCAATTTAGGTCAAAATCCATCAAATCCCGAATTGTACTAAGTTTAGTACATTTACATTTCTAGTACAAAATTTTTGAAAAATCATAAAAACCGTTTTCCACTAATTCAATTAAGGTCAAAATCCATCAAATTCCGAATTGTACTAGATTGAGTACATTTAAATTTTTAGTACAATTCAATTCCATAATTTTCGAAAAATTATAAAATCCGTTTTTTACAAATTCAATTTAGATCAAAATTCATCAAATCCAGAATTGTACCAAGTTTAGTACATTTACATTTCTTGTACAAAATTTTTGAAAAATCATAAAATCCGTTTTTTACAAATTCAATTTAGATCAAAATCCATCAAATCACGAATCGTACTAGACTTAGTACATTTACATTTTTAGTACAATTCAACTCTATAATTTTTGAAAAATCATGAACACCGTCTTTTACTTATTCAATTTAGGTCAGAATCCATTAAATCCCGAATTTTCCTTGATTTAGTACATTTACATTTTCAGTAAAATTCAATTTAAATTTTTGAAAAATCATAAAATTGTTATTTACAAATTGTACTAAATTCTAGTACATTTTTTTACGGTATGTTTTTCTAGTACATTTCCATTTTTTTATGAAACAGATTTGAAAAATTCAATTTGGCCCAAAATCAATCAAATCCCGAATTGTACTAGATTTAGTACATTTGATTTCTAGTAGAATTAATCTCTGTTTTTAACATTTTAAAAAATTGTTCTAAATCTAGTACATTTCTCTTTTGTAATTGTAAAGACACTCTTTCGTCAAACAACATGTATATGAAAAAAAAAATGTATTTCTAGTACATTTCAACCTTTTATTTAGTACATTCGATTTTTAGTGCAATTTATATTGTTCTTCGAAAAGTGTATTAAATCTAGTACAATTTATTTTTAGTATAATTTCTCTATATTTTCAAAAAACGAGCACAAAAACTCCTAGGATAATAGAAATATTTTTTCAAAATTTGTACTAAATTAATTTTTATTTCCGAAACTTTAGTACATTTCAGTTTTAGTACAATTTATCTTTGATCCGAAGAATCGTACGTACTCTTAGGATAATGGAAAAAATTCATTAATAATTGTAATAATAAATTTAGTACAATTAATTTTTACTTTCAAAAATTGTACTAATTCTAGTACATTTCATTTTTAGTACAAATTTCCATTTTAGTACAAAAAAATGAACACACATAAACTTTCAGGATAATGAAAATATTTTTTTCAAAAATTGTACTAAATCAATTTTTATTTTCGAAAATTTAGTATATTTCATTTTTAGTACAATTTATCTTTAATCCGAAAAACCGTACGCACTCTGAGGATATTGGGAAAAATTCGTCAATAATTGTACTTAATTTAGTACAATTAATTTTTACTTACAAATATTAGGTTCTATGAGTGATGACGTCACCTTTCAGGGTTGTGGTCAAGGATATCGACTAAGGGCGGGTATTATAAAACTACTTTGAGAGTTAACTTGAAGTTAACTTTTTGAATTACATGTATTTTCAGAAGTTAACTTTAAGTTAACTCTCAAAGTAGTTTTATAATACCCGCCCTAAGTCGTCTAGCAGGAATCGAACGCATTTTATCTCGAATTTTTCTGACATCTCCTTGTCACTTTTTTCGAGGGTAACATAGTCAAAATGACAGCTGTCAAATTTTTTTTTCCACTCGAATATTGACTCAGTTCTTTGACTTTTCTTGAATTGGTAATTGAGGCAAAATCCAAAATAACACAAAAAAATTTGAACTCAGAATTTTTTTCACGACTCAGAAAAAATATTTTCCATTCGAATATTGATTAAAAATTAGAATTTTCGACTCAGAATTTTTTTTCACAATTTCTGGCTTAAACAATTCTAGTGACTTCTTTATAAGATTTATCGCAAATTGTTTCCAGCTGTTTGCAGTCCTAGAAGCGATTTTTTTTAATATTGCTCTAGAGTAAATAGAGTAATAATAATTACTTTTAGATCAACTGGAGTGAGGTTTTTACCTGCTCCGTTCATGAAAGCCAAAGGGCAGTAGTTGTAGACGAAGGCATTATGGAAAAATTGCTCGGGTTCCGTGCACAAACCCTGCCAAAACTTCCAGAATCGATCCCCACTTTGCTCTTTTTTGGTGCAAGCGAAACCTTGCACTGGCCTTTGAGGGCACTCTAGAGCAGGTTTTTGCACCGCTCCCTCGATTTTTAGCCAGTTTTTCACCCAGTTAACGTCCCCAAATGGCACTCCGGTCTGGCACATGCCAGAGGGGCTCGGATTCATGCCCACCAAAAGGATTTTTTGGTTGGAATTTGAATATTTTCTAAAACGATTTTACTAGTGGCGCCATCTATTATTCAATGAAATAAATTACCTTAAATACAGTTCAAATGGGGCCCTGGCATACTCTGTAGGATTATAAACGTACTCCACTGGAGCCCTACGAAAATCCACTCCACTTAGGGCTTGATTCAGTACAGATTGAATTTGAATTAGTTGGTCTGCTAAAAGGGGGCCCTCTTGAACTGGGGGCCTAATGTTGGGGAAATACCTGGAAACTTCCGAGGGGGCGCAATTGGGCAACGACAAGTCCAAAACGGCCCCCGTGTTATCGCCGAACAGCTTTTGTCGCAGCATTAATTGTTTATTGCACTAGTAAATAAATAAACAATAACCTTTATTTGTTGACAAATTGAACGTAGCGTTTTCAAAAATCTTCTTGATAGTGTAATCCAGTGCACTCTAGAGCAAAACATACAGTGCACCAGAGTAAATTATCAATATTTTGATACAGTTTTGGATGGCCTGTAAAACAGAAACCTGCAGTAATTGCAATTTAATGTAAATGGTTATGGCACATACACACTCTTGTTCTACGCTAAAAAGACTGTACTGAATTCTGAACATTGGCTACGTTCACCAGAACCAAAACGGATTGTGTAAACAGGGCTGAAATCACGACAAATAAAATTCTACTTTTATGACGTCATCCTCGGACTATTTATCGCATACAGTACAGCGATAATGAAGGTTACTAGGCAACCTGACGTCATGAAACTAGAATTCTAGTATAATTCTACTTGTCGTGATCCCAGCCCGGTTCACAAATACCAACAGAATACGTTGGGTGAACTCTTGGTTCTGTGCTGAACGATTCATCTTTTTAATGATAAAACCTCATCCATCAAATCCCGAATTGTACCAGATTTAGTACATTTACATTTTTAGTACAATTCAACTCTATAATTTTTGAAAAATCATAAAAACCGTTTTTTCCTAATTCAATTAAGGTCAAAATCCATCAAATACCAAATTATACTAGATTTAGTACATTTACATTTTTAGTACATAATTTTTGAAAAATCATAAAAACCGTTTTTTAAAAATTCAATTTAGGTCAAAATCCATCAAATCCCTAATTGTACTAGGTTTAGTACATTTACATTTTTAGTACATAATTTTCGAAAAATCATAAAAACCGTTTTTTAATAATTCAATTCAGGTCAAAATCCATAAAATCCCAAATTGTACTAGATTTAGTACATTTACATTTTTAGTACATAATTTTTGAAAAATCATAAAAACCGTTTTTTACTTATTCAATTTAGGTCAAAATCCATCAAATCCCTAATTGTACTAGGTTTAGTACATTTACATTTTTAGTACATAATTTTCGAAAAATCATAGAAACCGTTTTTTAATAATTCAATTCAGGTCAAAATCCATAAAATCCCAAATTGTACTAGATTTAGTACATTTACATTTTTAGTACATAATTTTTGAAAAATCATAAAAACCGTTTTTTACTTATTCAATTTAGATCAAAATCCATCAAATCCTAAATTGTACCAAGTTTAGTACATTTAAATTTTTAGTACATAATTTTTGAAAAATCATAAAAACCGTTTTTTAATAATTCAATTTAGGTCAAAATCCATCAAATCCCGAATTGTACTAGATTTGGTACATTCGTATTTTTAGTACAATTCAACTTAAATTTAAAAAAAATCATATAAACCGTTTTTTATAAATTGTACTAAATTTTAGTACATTTTTTTACGGTGTGATTTTCTGGTATATTTCCATTTTTTTTATGAAAAATTATAAAAAAACATGTCTTCAGATTTGAAAAATTCAATTTAGCCCAAAATCCATCAAATCCCGAATTGTACTAGATTTAGTACATTTGATTTCTGGTAAAATTAATCTCTGTTTTTGATATTTTCAAAAATTGTACTAAATCTAGTACATTTCTCTTTTTTTTTCATGAAAAAATAAGTCAAATTGTAAAAAGACACTCTTTCGTCAAACAACGTGAATATGAAAAAAAAAAATGTCTACTACATTTCAACCTTCTATTTAGTACATTTATATTTTTCTCCGAAAATTGTACTAAATCTAGTACATTTTATTTTCAGTACAATTTCTCTATATTTCCAAAAAACAAGCACATAAACCCCTAGGATAATGAATATATTTTTTCAAAAATTGTACTAAATCAATTTTTATTGCCGAAACTTTAGTACATTTCAGTTTTAGTATAATTTATCTTTGATCCGAAGAATTGTACGTACTCTTAAGAATGGATAATATAATGGAATAATGGAAAAAATTCATCAATAATTGTTATAAATTTATTACCATTAATTTTTACTTTCAAAAATTGTACCAAGACTAGTACATTTCATTTTTAGTACAATTTTTCATTTCAGTACAAAAAAACGAAAACACACAAACTCCCAGGATAATGAAAATATTTTTTCAAAAATTGCACTAAATCAATTTTTATTTCCGAAAATTTAGTACATTTACATTTTTAGTACAATTCAACTATTTAATTTTTCAAAAATCATAAAAACCGTTTTATAAAAATACAATTTAGGTCAAAATCTATCAAATTCCGAATTGTACCAGATTTAGTACATTTACATTTTTAGTACAATTCAACTTAAATTTTTGAAAAACCATGAAAATTGTTTTTTACAAATTCAATTTAGGTCAAAACCCATAAAATCCCGATCTATAATTTTTAAAAAATCATAAAAACCGTTTTTTACTTATTCAATTTAGGTCAAAATCCATCAAATCCCGAATTGTACTAGATTTAGTACATTTACAATTTTAGTACAATTCAACTCTATAATTTTTGAAAAATTATAAAAACCGTTTTTTACTAATTTAATTTAGATCAAAATCCATCAAATCCCGAATTGTACTAGGTTTAGTACATTTATATTTTTAGTACATAATTATTGAAAAATCATAAAAACGTTTTTTACTAATTCAATTTAGGTCAAAATCCATCAAATCCAGATTTGTACTAGGTTTCGTACATTTACATTTTTAGTCCTAAATTTTTGAAAAATCATAAAAACCGTTTTTTACCAATTCAATTTAGGTTAAAATCCATCAAATCCAGAATTGTACTAGGTTTAGTACATTTATATTTTTAGTACATAATTTTTGAAAATCATATAAACTGTTTATTACAAATTCAATTTAGGTCAAAATCCATCAAATCCAAAATTGTACTAAGTTTAGTACATTTTTAGTACATAATTTTTGAAAAATCATATAAACCGTTTTTTACTAATTCAATTAAAAATTCATCAAATCCCGATTTGTACTAGATTTAGTACATTTACATTTTAAGTAAAATTCATCTAGAATTTTTAAAAAATCATAAAAACCGTTTTTTACAAATTGTACTAAATTTTAGTACATTTTTTTACGGTGTGATTTTCTAGTACATTTCCATTTTTTTATGAAAAATTATAAAAAACGATGTCTTCTTCAGATTTGAAAAATTCAATTTGGCCCAAAATCTATCAAATCCCGAATTGTACTAGATTTAGTACATTTAATTTTTGGTATAATTAATCTTTGTTTTTGTCATTTTTGATTATTGTACTAAATCTAGTACATTTCTCTTTCTTTCATAAAAAAACAAGTCAAATTGTAAAGACACTCTTTCGGCAAACAACATGAATATGGAAAAAAAAATTAATTTTTAGTTCATTTCAACCTTTTATTTAGAACATTCGATTTATAGTACAATTTATATTTTTTTCCGAAAATTGTACTAAATCTAGTACATTTTATTTTTAGTACAATTTCTCTTTATTTCCAAAAAACGAGCACACAAACTTCTAGGTTGATGAAAAAAATACTTTTTCAAAAATTGTACTAAATCAATTTTCATTTTCGAAACTTTAGTACATTTCAGTTTTAGTACAATTTATCTTTGATCCGAAGAATCGTGCGTACTCTTAGGATAATGGAAAAAATTCATCAATAATTGTAATAAATTTAATACAATTAATTTTTACTTTCAAAAATTGTACTAAGACTAGTATGCACATTTCATTTCTAGTACAATTTCTCATTTTAGTACAAAAAAACGAACACACACAGACTCCCAGGATAATTAAAATATTTTTTCGAAAATTGTACTAAATTAATTTTCATTTCTGAAAATTTGGTACATTTAGATTTTTAGTACAATTCAACTCTATAATTTTTGAAAAATCGTAGAAATCGTTTTTTACAAATTCAATTTAGGTCAAAATCCATCAAATGCAGAATTGTACTAGGTTTAGTACATTTATATTTTTAGTACAATTCAACTCTATAATTTTTGAAAAATCATGAAAACCGTTTTTCACGAATTCAATTCAGGTCAAAATCCATAAAATCCCAAATTGTACTAGATTTATTACATATACATTTTTAGTACAACTCAACTCTATAATTTTTGGAAATTCATCATAACTATTTTTTACTAATTTAATTTAGGTCAAAATCCATCAAATTCCGAATTGTACTAAATTTGGTACATTTACATTTTTAATACAATTCAACTTCTTTATTTCTGGAAAATCGAAAAAACCGTTTTTTATTAATTCAATTCAGGTCAAAATCCATTAAATCCCGGATTGTACTAGATTTAGTACATTTATATTTTTCGTACAATACGACTCTATAATTTTTGAAAAATCATAAAAATCGTTTCTCACAAATTCAATTTAGGTCAAAATCCATCAAATCCCAAATTGTACTAGATTAGTACAATTTCATTTTTAGTACAAATCAACTTATATTTTTGAAAAATCATAAAAACGTTTTTTACTAATTCAATTTAGGTCAAAATCCATCAAATCCTGAAATGTATTAGACTTTGTACATTTACATTTTTAGTACAATTTAACTTTATAATTTTTTAAAAATCATAAAAACCGTTTTTTATTAATTCAATTCAGGTCAAAATCCACCAAATCCCGGATTGTACTAGATTTAGTACATTTACATTTTTAGTACAATACAACTCTATAATTTTTGAAAAATAAAAACCGTTTCTCACAAATTCAATTTAGGTCAAAATCCATCAAATCCCGAATTGTACTAGGTTTAGTACATTTACATTTTTAGTACAATTCAACTTAAATTCCATCAAATCCTGAAATGTACTAGATTTAGTACATTTACATTATTAGTACAATTTAACTTAAATTTTTTGAAAAATCACAAAAACCGTTTTTGACAAATTTAATTTAGGTCAAAATCCATCAAATCCCGAATTGTACTAGATTTAGTACATTTACATTTTTAGTACAATTCAACTCTACAATTTTCGAAAAATCATAAAAACCGTCTTTTACAAATTCAATTTAGGTCAAAATCCGTCAAATCCCGAATTGTACTAAGTTTAGTACATTTACATTTCTAGTACAAAATTTTTGAAAAATCATAAAAACCGTTTTCCACTAATTCAATTAAGGTCAAAATCCAACAAATTCCGAATTGTACTAGATTGAGTACATTTACATTTTTAGTACAATTCAACTCTATAATTTTTGAAAAATCATGAAAACCGTTTTTCACGAATTCAATTCAGGTCAAAGTCCACCAAATCCCGAATTGTACTAGATTTAGTACATTTACATTTTTAGTACAATTCAACTATAATTTTTGAAAAATCATAAAAACCGTTTTCCACTAATTCAATTAAGGTCAAAATCCATCAAATTCCGAATTGTACTAGATTGAGTACATTTAAATTTTTAGTACAATTCAATTCCATAATTTTCGAAAAATTATAAAATCCGTTTTTTACAAATTCAATTTAGATCAAAATTCATCAAATCCAGAATTGTACCAAGTTTAGTACATTTACATTTCTTGTACAAAATTTTTGAAAAATCATAAAAACCGTTTTCCACTAATTCAATTAAGGTCAAAATCCAACAAATTCCGAATTGTACTAGATTGAGTACATTTACATTTTTAGTACAATTTAACTCTATAATTTTTTAAAAATCATAAAAACCGTCTTTCACTAATTCAATTTAGGTCAAAATCCATTAAATCCCGAATTGTACTAGATTTAGTACATTTACATTTTTAGTACAATTCAACTCTATAATTTTTGAAAAATCATGAACACCGTCTTTTACTTATTCAATTTAGGTCAGAATCCATTAAATCCCGAATTTTCCTTGATTTAGTACATTTACATTTTCAGTAAAATTCAATTTAAATTTTTGAAAAATCATAAAATTGTTATTTACAAATTGTACTAAATTCTAGTACATTTTTTTACGGTATGTTTTTCTAGTACATTTTCATTTTTTTAAGAAACAGATTTGAAAAATTCAATTTAGCCCAAAATCCATCAAATCCCGAATTGTACTTTTTAGTATTTAGTACCTTTGATTTCTGGTAGAATTAATCTCTGTTTTTAACATTTTAAAAAATTGTTCTAAATCTAGTACATTTCTCTTTTGTAATTGTAAAGACACTCTTTCGTCAAACAATATGTATATGAAAAAAAAATGTATTTCTAGTACATTTCAACCTTTTATTTAGTACATTCGATTTTTAGTGCAAATTATATTGTTCTCCGAAAAGTGTATTAAATCTAGTACAATTTATTTTTAGTTCAATTTCTCTATATTTTCAAAAAAGTACGAGCACACAAACTCCTAGGATAATAGAAATATTTTCTCAAAAATTGTATTAAATTAATTTTTATTTCTGAAACTTTAGTACATTTCAGTTTTGGTACAATTTATCTTTGATCGTACGTACTCTTAGGATAATGGAAAAAATTCATCAATAATTGTAATAAATTTAATACAATTAATTTTTACTTTCAAAAATTGTACTAAGACTAGTATGCACATTTCATTTTTAGTACAATTTCTCATTTTAGTACAAAAAAACGAACACACACAAACTCCCAGGATAATGAAAATATTTTTTCGAAAAAAAATAAATTTTCATTTCTGAAAATTTAGTACATTTACATTTTTAGTACAATTCAACTCTATAATTTTTGAAAAATCATAAAAATCGTTTTTTACAAATTCAATTTAGGTCAAAATCCATCAAATGCAGAATTGTACTAGGTTTAGTACATATATATTTTTAGTACAATTCAACTCTATAATTTTTGAAAAATCATGAAAACCGTTTTTCACGAATTCAATTCAGGTCAAAGTCCATAAAATCCCAAATTGTACTAGATTTATTACATTTACATTTTTAGTACAACTCAACTCTATAATTTTTGGAAAATCATCATAACTATTTTTTACTAATTTAATTTAGGTCAAAATCCATCAAATTCCGAATTGTACTAAATTTGGTACATTTACATTTTAAATACAATTCAACTTCATTATTTCTGGAAAATCAAAAAAACCGTTTTTTATTAATTCAATTCAGGTCAAAATCCATCAAATCCCGGATTGTACTAGATTTAGTACATTTATATTTTTCGTACAATACGACTATAATTTTTGAAAAATCATAAAAAACGTTTCTCACAAATTCAATTTAGGTCAAAATCCATCAAATCTCAAATTGTACTAGATTAGTACAATTTCATTTTTAGTACAATTCAACTTAAATTTTCGAAAAATTATGAAAACCGATTTTTAAAAAATTCAATTTAGGTCAAAATCCATCAAATCCTGAAATGTACTAGATTTAGTACATTTACATTATTAGTACAATTTAACTTAAATTTTTGAAAAATCACAAAAACCGTTTTTGACAAATTTAATTTAGGTCAAAATCCATCAAATCCCGAATTGTACTAGATTTAGTACATTTACATTTTTAGTGCAATTTAACTCTATAATTTTTTAAAAATCATAAAAACCGTTTTTTACAAATTCAATTTAGGTCAAAATCCATTAAATCCCGAATTGTACTAGATTTAGTACATTTACATTATTAGTACAATTTCACTCTATAATTTTTGAAAAATCACAAAAATCGTTTTCTACTAATTCAATTTAGATCAAAATTCATCAAATCCAGAATTGTACTAAGTTTAGTACATTAACATTTCCAGTAAAAAAAATTTGAAAAATCATAAAAACCGTTTTTCACTAATTCAATTTAGACTAAAATCCATCAAATCCCGAATTGTACTAGATTTAGTACATTTACATTTTTAGTACAATTCAACTCTATAATTTTTGAAAAATCATGACACCGTCTTTTACTTATTCAATTTAGGTCAGAATCCATTAAATCCCGAATTTTCCTTGATTTAGTACATTTAGATTTTCAGTAAAATTCAATTTAAATTTTTGAAAAATCATAAAATTGTTATTTACAAATTGTACTAAATTCTAGTACATTTTTTTACCGTATGTTTTTCTAGTACATTTCCATTTTTTTATGAAACAGATTTGAAAAATTCAATTTAGCCCAAAATCCATCAAATCCCGAATTGTACTAAATTTAGTACCTTTGATTTCTGGTAGAATTAATCTCTGTTTTTAACATTTTAAAAAATTGTTCTAAATCTAGTACATTTCTCTTTTGTAATTGTAAAGACACTCTTTCGTCAAACAACATGTATATGAAAAAAAAATGTATTTCTAGTACATTTCAACCTTTTATTTAGTACATTCGATTTTTAGTGCAAATTATATTGTTCTCCGAAAAGTGTATTAAATCTAGTACAATTTATTTTTAGTTCAATTTCTCTATATTTTCAAAAAAGTACGAGCACACAAACTCCTAGGATAATAGAAATATTTTCTCAAAAATTGTACTAAATTAATTTTTATTTCCGAAACTTTAGTACATTTCAGTTTTGGTACAATTTATCTTTGATCGTACGTACTCTTAGGATAATGGAAAAAATTCATCAATAATTGTAATAAATTTAATACAATTAATTTTTACTTTCAAAAATTGTACTAAGACTAGTATGCACATTTCATTTTTAGTACAATTTCTCATTTTAGTACAAAAAAACGAACACACACAAACTCCCAGGATAATGAAAATATTTTTTCGAAAAAAAATAAATTTTCATTTCTGAAAATTTAGTACATTTACATTTTTAGTACAATTCAACTCTATAATTTTTGAAAAATCATAAAAATCGTTTTTTACAAATTCAATTTAGATCAAAATCCATCAAATCCAGAATTGTACCAAGTTTGGTACATATACATTTCTAGTACAAAATTTTTGAAAAATCATAAAAACCGTTTTTCACTAATTCAATTTAGACCAAAATCCATCAAATCACGAATCGTACTAGACTTAGTACATTTATATTTTTAGTACAATTCAACTCTATAATTTTTGAAAAATCATGAACACCGTCTTTCACTTATTCAATTTAGGTCAGAATCCATTAAATCCCGAATTTTCCTTGATTTAGTACATATACATTTTCAGTAAAATTCAATTTAAATTTTTGAAAAATCATAAAATTGTTATTTACAAATTGTACTAAATTCTAGTACATTTTTTTACGGTATGTTTTTCTAGTACATTTCCATTTTTTTATGAAACAGATTTGAAAAATTCAATTTGGCCCAAAATCCATCAAATCCCGAATTGTACCAAAATTTAGTACCTTTGATTTCAGGTAGAATTAATCTCTGTTTTTAACACTTTAAAAAATTGTTCTAAATCTAGTACATTTCTCTTTTGTAATTGTAAAGACACTCTTTCGTCAAACAATATGTATATGAAAAAAAAATGTATTTCTAGTACATTTCAACCTTTTATTTAGTACATTCGATTTTTAGTGCAATTTATATTTTTCTCCGAAAAGTGTATTAAATCTAGTACAATTTATTTTTAGTACAATTTCTCTATATTTTCAAAAAACGAGCACACAAACAAACAAAGATAGTAGAAATATTTTTTCAAAATTTGTACTAAATTAATTTTTATTTCCGAAACTTTAGTACATTTCAGTTTTGTACAATTTATCTTTGATCCGAAGAATCGTACGTACTCTTAGGACAATGGAAAAAATTCATCAATAATTGTTATAAACTTGGTACAATCAATTTTTACTTTCAAATATTGTACTAATTCTAGTACATTTCATTTTTAGTACATTACATCATTATTTTTGACATTTTCGATAATTGTACTAAATCTAGTACATTTCTGAAAAAGGCGCCGAAGTGTGTATCAACTTTTATATTATCAAATAGTATTAAAAAACTACTATAATGTGAATATGTATTAAAAAAAAAAAAAAAAAAAAATAAAACTTGGACATGAAACGTTCCGATTGGTCGAAGACAAATTTTGCGGTTTGACATTTTGAAAAAAAAAAAATTAATAACAAAAAATTATTTTAGAATAAAATTATTAGCCGTTAATGTAAACTGAGTCAATTGTACTAAATTCAGTACATTTTTTTCAAATATACAAAGTCTAGTACAATTCCTGAAAAAAATATATCAATAGAGTAGAAAACTGTTTTATAACTCAAATAATGTTTTTGCTAAAAAATCATAATTGTACTAAACTTAGTACAATTCTCAATTTTCTTTGTACAAGCTTAGAAATGGTTTTTCAGTCAGCTGGAGCCAATTTTCTTCGGAATATTTCGTGTTTATCCGTTCGACCACGTGGAAAGTGTAGGCGGGTCGTGATTAGTACCACTGGAAAAAAAAAATTGACTTTTATTAGTGATGACGTCACTTTCAAGGTTACGGTCAAACGTATCTAAACAAACTTTAAACCATCAGGGATAACGTCACATTTTTTGAGGTAATTTTTGAATAAGTTATGGGGTATATGTGTGGTAACTTCACCGTTCAAGGTTAGGGTCAAATCTATCTAAACAAACTTCAAACTATCAATGATGACGTCACATTTTTTGAGGCTAATTTTAAATAAATTTTTGGTTATATGAGTAATGGCGTCACGTTTCAAGTATAGTTAAATGTATCTAATCAAATTTTAGAACATCATTGATGACGTCATATTTCTTGAAGATATTTTCAAACAAATATTAGGTTATATGAGTCATGACGTCACCTTTCAGGGTTGTGGTCAAGGATATAGACTAAGTCGTCTAGCAGGAATCGAACGCACTCTATTTTAAATTTTTCTGACATCTCCTTATCACTTTTTTCGAGGGTGACATTGTCAAAATGACAGCTGTCAATTTTTTTTTTGACTCAGAAAAAATATTTTCTATTTAAATATCGACTCAGAAAAATTTTCTTTGATTTTTTTTGAATTTGTAATTGAGGAAAAATCTAAAAAAATTAGAATTTTCGATTCGAATTTTTTTTCATAACTCAGAAAAAATATTTTCTACTCGAATATTGACTCAGAAAAATTTTCTTTGACTTTTTGTGAATGTGTAATTGAGGAAAAATCCAAAAATATCGCAAAAAAATTAGAATTGTCGACTCAGAATTCTTTTTTTCACAACTCAGAAAAAATATTTTCGTCTCAAATATTGACTCAGAAAAATTTTCTTTGATTTTTTTTGAATTTGTAATTGAGGAAAAATCTAAAAAAATTAGAATTTTCGACTCGAATTTTTTTTCATAACTCAGAAAAAATATTTTCTACTCGAATATTGACTCAGAAAAATTTTCTTTGACTTTTTGTGAATGTGTAATTGAGGCAAAATCCAAAAATAACGCAAAAAAATTAGAATTGTTGACTCAGAATTCTTTTTTTCACAACTCAGAAAAAATATTTTCGTCTCGAATATTGACTCAGAAAAATTTTCTTTAATTTTTTTGAATTTGTAATTGAGGAAAAATCTAAAAAAATTAGAATTTTCGACTCGAATTTTTTTTCATAACTCAGAAAAAATATTTTCTACTCGAATATTGACTCAGAAAAATTTTCTTTGACTTTTTGTGAATGTGTAATTGAGGCAAAATCCAAAAATAACGCAAAAAAATTAGAATTGTTGACTCAGAATTCTTTTTTTCACAACTCAGAAAAAATATTTTCGTCTCGAATATTGACTCAGAAAAATTTTCTTTAATTTTTTTGAATTTGTAATTGAGGAAAAATCTAAAAAAATTAGAATTTTCGACTCGAATTTTTTTTCATAACTCAGAAAAAATATTTTCTACTCGAATATTGACTCAGAAAAATTTTCTTTGACTTTTTGTGAATGTGTAATTGAGGCAAAATCCAAAAATAACGCAAAAAAATTAGAATTGTTGACTCAGAATTCTTTTTTTCACAACTCAGAAAAAATATTTTCGTCTCGAATATTGACTCAGAAAAATTTTCTTTGATTTTTTTTGAATTTGTAATTGAGGAAAAATCTAAAAAAATTAGAATTTTTGACTCGAATTTTTTTTCATAACTCAGAAAAAATATTTTCTACTCGAATATTGACTCAGAAAAATTTTCTTTGACTTTTTGTGAATGTGTAATTGAGGCAAAATCCAAAAATAACGCAAAAAAATTAGAATTGTTGACTCAGAATTCTTTTTTTCACAACTCAGAAAAAATATTTTCGTCTCGAATATTGACTCAGAAAAATTTTCTTTAATTTTTTTGAATTTGTAATTGAGGAAAAATCTAAAAAAATTAGAATTTTCGATTCGAATTTTTTTTCATAACTCAGAAAAAATATTTTCTACTCGAATATTGACTCAGAAAAATTTTCTTTGACTTTTTGTGAATGTGTAATTGAGGCAAAATCCAAAAATAACGCAAAAAAATTAGAATTGTTGACTCAGAATTCTTTTTTTCACAACTCAGAAAAAATATTTTCGTCTCGAATATTGACTCAGAAAAATTTTCTTTAATTTTTTTGAATTTGTAATTGAGGAAAAATTTAAAAAAATTAGAATTTTCGACTCCGAATTTTTTTTTTTAAGACTCAGAAACAATATTTTTTACTTAAATATCGACTCAGAAAAATTTTCTTTCACTTTTCTTGAATTTGTAATTGAGGCAAAATCCAAAAATAACGCAAAAAAAATTAGAATTTTCGACTCAGAAAAAATATTTTCTACTTAAATATCGACTCAGAAACATTTTCTTGACTTTTCTTGAATTTGCAATTGAGGCAAACTCCAAAAATAACGCAAAAAAATTAGAATTTTTGACTCAGATTTTTTTTTTAGAATTGATTTTTTTTTAAATTTTGCTCTAGAGTAAATAGAGTAATAATACCTTTTAGTTCAGCCGGAGTTAGGTTTTTACCTGCTCCGTTTATAAAAGCCAAAGGGCAGTAGTTGTAGACGAAGGCATTATGAAAAAATTGCTCGGGTTCCGTGCACAAACCCTGCCAAAACTTCCAGAATCGATCCCCGCTTTGCTCTTTTTTGGTGCAAGCGAAACCTTGCACTGGCCTTTGAGGGCACTCTAGAGCAGGTTTTTGCACCGCTCCCTCGATTTTTAGCCAGTTTTTCACCCAGTTAACGTCCCCAAACGGCACTCCGGTCTGGCACATGCCAAAGGGGCCCGGATTCATGCCCACTAGAAGGATTTTTTGGTTGGAATTTGAATATTTTCTGAAACGATTTTTACTAGTGGCGCCATCTATTATTCAATCAAATAAATTACCTTAAATACAGTTCAAATGGGGCCCTGGCATATTCTGTAGGATTATAAACGTACTCCACTGGAGCCCTACGAAAATCCACTCCACTTAGGGCTTGATTCAGTACAGATTGAATTTGAATTAGTCGGTCTGCTAAAAGGGGGCCCTCTTGAACTGGGGGCCTAATGTTGGGGAAATACCTGGAAACTTCCGAGGGGGCGCAATTGGGCAACGACAAGTCCAAAACAGCCCCCGTGTTTTCGCCGAACAGCTTTTGTCGCAGCATTAATTGTTTATTGCACTAGTAAATAAATAAACAATAACCTTTATTTGTTGACAAATTGAACGTAGCGTTTTCAAAAATCTTCTTGATAGTGTAATCCAGTGCACTCTAGAGCAAAACATATAGTGTACCAGAGTAAATTATCAATATTTTGATGCAGTTTTGGATGGCCTGTAAAACAGAAACCTGCACTAATTGCAATTTAATGTAAATGGTTATGGCACATACACACTCTTGTTCTACGCTAAAAAGACTGTACTGGATTCTGAACATTGGCTACGTTCACCAGATTCAAAACGGATTGTGTAAACAGGGCTGAAATCACGACAAATAAAATTCTACTTTTATGACGTCATCCTCGAACTATTTATCGCATACAGTACAGCGATAATGAAGGTTACTAGGCAACCTGACGTCATGAAACTAGAATTCTAGTATAATTCTACTTGTCGTGATCCCAGCCCGGTTCACAAATACCAACAGAATACGTTGGGTGAACTCTTGGTTCTGTGCTGAACGATTCATCTTTTTAATGATAGAACCTCATCCATCAAATCCCGAATTGTACCAGATTTAGTACATTTACATTTTTAGTACAATTCAACTCTATAATTTTTGAAAAATCATAAAAACCGTTTTTTCCTAATTCAATTAAGGTCAAAATCCATCAAATACCAAATTATACTAGATTTAGTACATTTACATTTTTAGTACATAATTTTTGAAAAATCATAAAAACGTTTTTTAATAATTCAATTCAGGTCAAAATCCATAAAATCCTAAATTGTTACTAGATTTAGTACATTTACATTTTTAGTACATAATTTTTGAAAAATCATAAAAACCGTTTTTTAAAAATTCAATTTAGGTCAAAATCCATCAAATCCCTAATTGTACTAGGTTTAGTACATTTACATTTTTAGTACATAATTTTTGAAAAATTACAAAAATCGTTTTTTATAAATTCAATTTATGTCAAAATCCATCAAATCCCAAATTGTACTAGATTTAGTACATTTACATTGTTAGTTCATAATTTTTGAAAAATCATAAAAACCGTTTTTTTAATAATTCAATTTAGGTCAAAATCCATCAAATCCTAAATTGTACTAGATTTAATACATTTACATTTTTAGTACATAATTTTTGAAAAATCATAAAAACCGTTTTTTAATAATTCAATTTAAGTCAAAATCCATCAAATTCCGAATTGTACTAGATTTGGTACATTCGTATTTTTAGTAAAATTCAACTTAAATTTTAAAAAAATCATATAAACCGTTTTTTATAAATTGTACTAAATTTTAGTACATTTTTTTACGGTGTGATTTTCTAGTATATTTCCATTTTTTTTATTAAAAATTATAAAAAAACCATGTCTTCAGATTTGAAAAATTCAATTTAGCCCAAAATCCATCAAATCCCGAATTGTACTAGATTTAGTACATTTGATTTCTGGTAAAATTAATCTCTATTTTTGATATTTTCAAAAATTGTACTAAATCTAGTACATTTCTCTTTTTTTTTCATAAAAAAATAAGTCAAATTGTAAAAAGACACTCTTTCGTCAAACAACGTGAATATGAAAAAAAAAAAAAATTTCTACTTCATTTCAACCTTCTATTTAGTACATTTATATTTTTCTCCGAAAATTGTACTAAATCTAGTACATTTTATTTTCAGTAAAATTTCTCTATATTTCCAAAAAAACAAGCACATAAACCCCTAGGATAATAAATATATTTTTTCAAAAATTGTACTAAATCAATTTTTATTGCCGAAACTTTAGTACATTTCAGTTTTAGTATAATTTATCTTTGATCCGAAGAATTGTACGTACTCTTAAGAATGGATAATATAATGGAATAATGGAAAAAATTCATCAATAATTGTTATAAATTTATTACCATTAATTTTTACTTTCAAAAATTGTACCAAGACTAGTACATTACATTTTTAGTACAATTTTTCATTTCAGTACAAAAAAACGAAAACACACAAATTCCCAGGATAATGAAAATATTTTTTCAAAAATTGTACTAAATCAATTTTTATTTCCGAAAATTTAGTAGATTTACATTTTTAGTACAATTCAACTATTTAATTTTCCAAAAATCATAAAAACCGTTTTATAAAAATACAAATTAGGTCAAAATCTATCAAATTCCGAATTGTACTAGACTTGGTACATTTACATTTTGAGTACAATTCAACTTAAATTTTTGAAAAACCATGAAAACTGTTTTTTACAAATTCAATTTAGATCAAAACCCATAATATCTCGAATTGTACTAGATCTAGTACATTTACATTTTTAATACAAATCAACTCTATAATTTTTCAAAAATCATAAAAACCGTTTTTTACTAATTCAATTTAGGTCAAAATTCATCAAATCCCGAATTGTACTAGGTTTAGTACATTTACATCTTTAGTACTAAATTTTTGAAAAATCATAAAAACCTTATTTTTACTAATCCAATTTAGGTCAAAATCCATCAAATCCCGAATTGTACTAAATTTGGTACATTCATATTTTTAATACAATTCAACTTCATAATTTCTGGAAAATCATCATAACTTTTTTTTACTAATTCAATTTAGGTCAAAATTCATCAAATCCCGAATTGTACTAGGTTTAGTACATTTACATCTTTAGTACTAAATTTTTGAAAAATCATAAAAACCGTTTTTTACTAATCCAATTTAGGTCAAAATCCATCAAATCCCGGATTGTACTAGGTTTAGTACATTTACATTTTTCGTACAATACAACTCTATAATTTTTGAAAAATCATAAAAACCGTTTCTCACAAATTCAATTTAGGTCAAAATCCATCAAATCCCGAATTGTACTAGATTAGTACAATTACTTTTTTAGTACAAATCAACTTAAATTTTTGAAAAATCATAAAAATCGTTTTTTACTAATTCAATCTAGGTCAAAATCCATCAAATCCCGAATTGTACTAGGTTTAGTACATTTATATTTTTAGTACATAATTATTGAAAAATCATAAAAACGTTTTTTACAAATTCAATTTAGGTCAAAATCCATCAAATCCCGAATTTTACTAGATTAAGTAGATTTACATTTTTAGTACAATTCAACTCTATAATTTCTGAAAAATCATAAAAAACATTTTTTACCAATTCAATTTAGATCAAAATCCATCAAAACCCGAATTGTACTAGATTTAGTAGATTTACATTTTTAGTACAATTCAACTCTATAATTTTTGAAAAATTATAAAAACCTTTTTTTACTAATTTAATTTAGGTCAAAATCCATCAAATCCCGAATTGTACTAGATTTAGTACATTTACATTTTTAGTACAATTCAACTTAAATTTTTGAAAAATCATAAAAACTCTATTTGACAAATTCAATTTAGGTCAAAACCCATCAAATCCCGAATTGTACTAGATTTAGTAGATTTACATTTTTAGTACAATTCATTAGTACAATTTTCGAAAAATTATAAAAACCTTTTTTTACTAATTTAATTTAGGTCAAAATCCATCAAATCCCGAATTGTACTAGATTTAGTACATTTACATTTTTAGTACAATTCAACTTAAATTTTTGAAAAATCATAAAAACTCTATTTGACAAATTCAATTTAGGTCAAAACCCATCAAATCCCGAATTGTACTAGGTTTCGTACATTTACATTTTTAGTCCTAAATTTTTGAAAAATCATAAAAACCGTTTTTTACCAATTTAATTTAGGTTAAAATCCATCAAATCCAGAATTGTACTAGGTTTAGTACATTTATATTTTTAGTACATAATTTTTGAAAATCATAAAAACCGTTTCTCACAAATTCAATTTAGGTCAAAATCCATCAAATCCCAAATTGTACTAGATTAGTACAATTTCATTTTTAGTACAAATCAACTTATATTTTTGAAAAATCATAAAAATCGTTTTTTACTAATTCAATTTAGGTCAAAATCCATCAAATCCCGAATTGTACTAGGTTTAGTACATTTATATTTTTAGTACATAATTATTGAAAAATCATAAAAACGTTTTTTACTAATTCAATTTAGGTCAAAATCCATCAAATCCCGAATTTTCCTAGATTTAGTACATTTACATTTTCAGTACAATTCAACTTAAATTTTCGAAAAATCACAAAAACCGTTTTTGACAAATTTAATTTAGGTCAAAATCCATCAAATCCCGAATTGTACTAGATTTAATACATTTACATTTTTAGTACAATTCAACTCTACAATTTTTGAAAAATCATAAAAACCGTCTTTTACAAATTCAATTTAGGTCAAAATCCATCAAATCCCGAATTGTACTAAGTTTAGTACATTTACATTTCTAGTACAAAATTTTTGAAAAATCATAAAAACCGTTTTCCACTAATTCAATTAAGGTCAAAATCCATCAAATTCCGAATTGTACTAGATTGAGTACATTTACATTTTTAGTACAATTTAATTCTATAATTTTTGAAAAATCATAAAAACCGTTTTTCACTAATTCAATTTAGGTCAAAATCCATTAAATCCCGAATTGTACTAGATTTAGTACATTTACATTTTTAGTACAATTCAACTATAATTTTTGAAAAATCATAAAAACCGTTTTCTACTAATTCAATTTAGGTCAAAATTCATCAAATCCCGTATTGTACTAAGTTTAGTACATTTACATTTCTAGTACAAAATTTTTGAAAAATCATAAAAACCGTTTTTCACTAATTCAATTTAGGTCAAAATCCATTAAATTCCGAATTGTACTAGATTTAGTACATTCACATTTTTAGTACAATTCACTATAATTTTTGAAAAATCATAAAAACCGTTTCCTACTAATTCAATCTTGGTCAAAATCCATCAAATCCCGTATTGTACTAAGTTTAGTACTTTTACATTTCTAATACAAAATTTTTGAAAAATCATAAAAACCGTTTTTCACTAATTCAATTTAGGTCAAAATCCATTAAATCCCGAATTGTACTAGATTTAGTACATTTACATTATTAGTACAAAATTTTTGAAAAATCATAAATACCGTTTTTCACTAATTCAATTTAGGTCAAAATCCACCAAATCCCGAATTGTACTAGATTGAGTACATTTACATTTTTAGTACAATTAAATTCCAGAATTTTCGAAAAATTATAAAATCCGTTTTTTACAAATTCAATTTAGATCAAAATTCATCAAATCCAGAATTGTACTAAGTTTAGTACATTTACATTTCCAGTAAAAAAAAATTGAAAAATCATAAAAACCGTTTTTCACTAATTCAATTTAGACTAAAATCCATCAAATCCCGAATTGTACTAGATTTAGTACATTTCCATTTTTAGTACAATTCAACTCTATAATTTTTGAAAAATCATGAACACCGTCTTTTACTTATTCAATTTAGGTCAGAATCCATTAAATCCCGAATTTTCCTTGATTTAGTATATTTACATTTTCAGTAAAATTCAACTTAAATTTTTGAAAAATCATAAAATTGTTATTTACAAATTGTACTAAATTCTAGTACATTTTTTTACGGTATGTTTTTCTAGTACATTTTCATTTTTTTATGAAACAGATTTGAAAAATTCAATTTAGCCCAAAATCCATCAAATCCCGAATTGTACTAAATTTAGTACCTTTGATTTCTGGTAGAATTAATCTCTGTTTTTAACATTTTAAAAAATTGTTCTAAATCTAGTACATTTCTCTTTTGTAATTGTAAAGACACTCTTTCGTCAAACAATATGTATATGAAAAAAAAAATGTATTTCTAGTACATTTCAACCTTTTATTTAGTACATTCGATTTTTAGTGTAATTTATATTTTTCTCCGAAAAGTGTATTAAATCTAGTACAATTTATTTTTAGTACAATTTCTCTATATTTTCAAAAAACGAGCACACAAACTCCTAGGATAATAGAAATATTTTTTCAAAATTTGTACTAAATTAATTTTTATTTCCGAAACTTTAGTACATTTCAGTTTTAGTACAATTTATCTTTGATCCAAAGAATCGTACGTACTCTTAGGATAATGGAAAAAATTCATTAATAATTGTAATAATAAATTTAGTACAATTAATTTTTACTTTCAAAAATTGTACTAATTCTAGTACATTTCATTTTTAGTACAATTTTCTATTTTAGTACAAAAAAACGAACACACATAAACTTTCAGGATAATGAAAATATTTTTTTCAAAAATTGTACTAAATCAATTTTTATTTTCGAAAATTTAGTACATTTCATTTTTAGTATGTACAATTTATTTTCAATCCGAAGAATTATACGTACTCTGAGGATATTGGGAAAAATTCGTCAATAATTGTATTAGGTTTTTCAATTTTCCAATGGGGTTATTTTCCACTGGAAAAATTTGAAATTTCACTATAATACGCTCCTGACTTTTCTTTTTTTTTCCAGAAAATGTCATAATTTTTCCTTGAATAGTTTTCCAGAAAAAAATAAAATGTTAGATGATGCATTTATGCCTAATTTAGTTGATTTTCATTAATTTCCAATAGGTTTATTTTTCATTTGAAAAATTTGAAATTTTAGGATGATACGCCCCTGACTTTTCTCGTTTTTAATAGTTAATCCGTAGTTGGCAACACTGATTATATATGGTTGGAAGGGCATTAATTTTTTAATAAATCAGTGGAAAATTGAGTTTCATAAGTCAAATAGTTTTTGAGCAATTTAGCCTCAAAATTAAGTTTTGGTTAAAATCCAAAAATTTTAATTTTGTCTCTGATGGAAAATGTTTGGTTCAATAATTGCCAATATCTTTCTTAAACCTAAAACAACCTACAACAAATTATATATCATTGGAAAGAGCATTAAATTCTCTATAAATCAGCGTAAAATTAAGCTCAATAGCTTGAATAGTTTTTGAGCAATTGAGCCTCAAAATCAATTATATTTAAAAAAAAAAACTTACAAAGAATTCAATTATAACATTAACAACGTTACAAGCGAAAAACATTCCGAAGGTTCTTAGAACCAATTTGCATAACGTCGTTTAAAATTACTGGGTCAAAGTTGCAATTAACTTTAAAAGAAAAAAAATTGTTTATTTCATTCGCTTATAATATAGCGATCTAGATGAATTTAATTAATAATGTAATTATGCAAATAATAATAATAATAATGTTGCTTCTTGGTATACGTTTTTGTCATCCAATCTTCAAGGTTGAAATAATGCGGAAAATAACCACTTTCTACACTACTTCTAACAAAAAGCAATTATTTCCTCATTTGAATAACAATATAATCAATTACGCAGATGAGGTATTATTTGTTTAAATAAATGATTAACGACCCATAATTTAGCAAGCCCAAATTAAATTTCCAAGAAATTTTAATCCTTTACCCACTCTTGAAAAAAAAAAAAACCCGAAATATTAGTATAATGAATTCTTCTTTTGCTTATATATAAATATAAAAGCGGTACCATTAAGGTACCACATTTTAGTACTACTGCAAAATGAAGAGTTTCATAATAATCGGGCTTTTTGTCGCAATAATTGCATTGGCTTTGGCCGAAGAAGAAAAGTACACGACAAAGTACGACAACGTGAATATAGATCAGATTATTCAAAACGATCGGTTGATGAGAAGTTACGTCGATTGTTGTTTAGGCAAGAAAAAATGTACCAAAGACGGCGAGGAATTGAAAAGTAATTATGTACAATTATTATTTAATTATAAAGACTTTTGAACTTTTTTTTAATTGATGGTCAATTATTACAAAAACAACTTGCACAAAAACTATTTATAGAGAATTTTTCATTGATATATAATTTGTTTTAGTTTTAAGGAAAATATTGGCAATTATTCATGAGCATGTTAAAATTTTCGAGCCAAACATTTTTCACATTAAATTGCCATTTGGAGTTTTCCACTAATTTAGACCCGTCAAAATTGAACAAAATTGAAAAATAATAGAAAATCGAGTTTTGAATTTTGATTTTAAAATATTCACATCTCAATTGTTCAGTAATCGTTGAATAAATTTAATTGAAATTTTCAGCATTTTTAGCTCGTAATAAGCTCTAATAGTAATTTACAACATTTTCAGATTTATAGTTTTTGAGCAAATTGAGTTTTTGAAAAAAATTAGACTATAAATCAACTTTGAGATTTATTTGCTCGGAAACTATTTGAGTTAGCAAAATACAATTTTGCAAAGATTTATAGAGAATTCAATGCTGTTCCTAATAATATATAATTTATTTAAATTTATTCAAAGTATAACAAGGATATGGGCAATAGTTCATGACCATGTCAAGATTTTGAATATTTGCCTTTATAATTTTTTTTCTGCTTAAAATTGTCATGTGCAACTAATTGATGTTAGAGTTTTTTCCCACTAATTTTGACACGCTTTATCGATTGGTGAAGTCAAAATTGAACAAAATAAAAAAATAGGAAAATCGAAGTTTTCATAAGGGTACCCCTTTCGAATTTTGATTTCAAGATACAGTAGAACCCCGGTTATCCGATGTAACGTGGGTGGAGGGGTACCCACCTCGAATAACTGAAAACTCGGATAATCCGAATACATACATCAGTGCGGCCGTAAAGTAAGGAATAAATTCAATAATTATTCTTCTACGTAATTTTTTTAAAAATCCTTAAACACGTCAATTTTATTTTTTGTCGGGCATGTTTCAGAAAGTAAAATTATTATACAGGGTGGTCGCAAAAAAATTAAACAGGTATATCCTATTCACAATCCGATGTCCACAGGTACAGGTAAATTTATCACCTTTCCCTGTCAAATAACATTGACAAGTGATAAATTTTACCTGTACCTGTGAACATCAGATTGTGAATGAATAATAGTAACTTAATTTTTTTAAATAGACACCCCTAATTTTTTTATATTGTCGCGGCTTTGGGTTGCCTGACAGAAATCTTGGGTTCGTTGTTCGTTTCGTTTATTCCAACTGGAACTACTAAAACAAAATTCATGTGCAAAAGACCAATTTAATGCTGATTTGAAAAATTCAATAATACAGGGGCCACTCCATAAGAAGAATACACATCTTGTGTAATATCTTGGAAACTAGATAAGATAGATAAAAATAAATTGCAACATAGAATTCTACGTTAAAAAATCTGTTAAAAAGTATTTTACAAAATTGCCAAATTTTCATAAATAAAAAAGTTATAGACCCCCTCTGACAAACTGCAAACTTTTCAAAAACCCCTCGTAACTTGAAAACGACTCGACATATCAAAATGCGGATTTCACCAGTCAATTTCTCTTGAAAATTGAGGCTCGCAAGTGGGGGTCAGATTTTTTCCAACTCGTCTAGTTAGGGTTGCCAACTATTAATTTTTGAAATCCAGGACAAACAAGGACACAGAGTGACAAAAAAGGACACCTTATCATATAACGTTTTATTAATTTTGATAAAATAAATTTAAAAAAATTACCTACTGGCTAAAAAAATGAAATAAACATTTTAAAAACCAAAAAAAAACCTTAATTTCTAACTAACTGCGTCGTTCGCAAATGCGCAACAGTGCAATGTTGTCAGATGTCATTATAAATAGTAAAAACATCTTTTATTCTATATTGTTTGAGCAACTGGCTAAAATCCAGAACAAAATGCGTCCTTTTTAAGGGCTTGGAAGGACGAAAGACAAATCTATTAAAATCGTTAGAAAACCAGGACGTCCTACCTAATACAGGACGGTTGGCAACCCTACCTCTAGAAATACTCAAAATTATCGAATGTATAGATGGGGACATTGTGCTCTTAAAAAATATAGAATAAAATATAAAGCATCCCATTTGAAAAAAGCTGGAAGCATTACAAATAAGTGGATTATTGCGGAACTTATGGGTGAACCTCTATAAAACAAGCGCAGCGAGTTCTGCAGCCATCTACCTACTGTTGAACTAGCACCAAAAAAGGCAATTTTTTTCCAATTTACCCGACCTTGTAGCTCTTACCGTTTCGGATATAGCAATAGTAGTATCATTTAAAATATACACCCGGTATAAAACTAGTGAAAACGAAATAAAACCACTTTTGAAAACACCTTTATTTTCATTAAATTTTGAATAGCAATGAGTTATATCCATTAACAATATAAATGGACCATTTTATTGGTATTGGGATCTGTCAACCCCTAAGCGGGGATGACAGGTACCCCCAGAATATCACACAGAAAGGGGGTCGAATGATACGTCATTTGATAGCAATTTTTATTAAAATTATATGCTCGAAATTTCAATTTGCTACTTCTTACCATGCTGAAATGACGGCTTGTCAAAGTTAGGAAACAGTACATTGTATCACTTGAATCCCCTTTCCATTTGAAATTTTGCCAATACTTGTCACCATGTCCCCCACTCAGGGGTTGACATGCAAGGAGTGAAAATACCGATAAAATGTGTCCCCCAAAAAACAAACATTGACGTGTCCGAGCGATTTTTGCTTAATCACTTAACACTTGAGAAAACCCTAGGTGCGAAGCTTTTCGTGTCCCACCCTGTATAACTTACAAACTATCTGGAATTTTTTCATTCCAAACAATAAACATCCTTCAGTAGCAAACTTTATCTAACTTCCGTTGCCTTTTGGGGGTGTCCACTGGCTGCCATTTTGGAAAACCGCCGCCACGGTCGTTGGGGGGCAGTTAGCCGATGGCTTCACATCCAAATACAATCATTTTACATCGGTCTACCTCTGTGCCAAATTTGGTGCCTTTATCAAAAAGAGCACAATATGTTGAAATATCCTAGCTAAGCTGCACATATTGATGAATAGAGGTTTACCCATAAGTTCCGCAACAATCCACTCGTTTGTACTTGAATAACTTGTCACATTACATTACTAGTTTGGTAAAATAACTAATTTCTATTAATAGGCAAATTGACAAAAAGTAAATAATCATAATCTTACAAATTTTCACTTTATATAATAAGTTATTTTTTCAAGTACAAATAAGTGGATTGTTGCGGAACTTATGGGTGGACCTCTGCGGGACGAGCGCAGCGAGTTCCGCAGCCATCTACTCACTAATATACTATATTGAACTGTTCAAGTAAGACATTCACCTGAAATGTGTAGTTTTTGAATTAATAAGAATAATTCACATTTAAATGAATTAAGTTATTATCGTTATTACACAACATATTGATAAATAGATGGCTGCGGAACTCGCTGCGCTCGTCCCGCAGAGGTCCACCCATAAGTTCCGCAACAATCCACTTATTTGTACTTGAAAAAATAACTTATTATATAAAGTGAAAATTTGTAAGATTATGATTATTTACTTTTTGTCAATTTGCCTATTAATAGGAATTAGTAATGTTACTTTACCAAACTAATAACCTAATGTGACAAATTATTCAAGTACAAATGAGTGGATTGTTGCGGAACTTATGGGTGGACCTCTGCGGGACGAGCGCAGCGAGTTCCGCAGCCATCTATTTATCAATATGTTGTGTAATAACGATAATAACTTAACTCATTTAAATGTGAATTATTCTTATTAATTCAAAAACTACACATTTCAGGTGAATGTCTTACTTAAACAGTTCAATATAGTATATTAATGAGTAGATGGCTGCGGAACTCGCTGCGCTCGTCCCGCAGAGGTCCACCCATAAGTTCCGCAACAATCCACTCGTTTGTACTTGAATAACTTGTCACATTACATTACTAGTTTGGTAAAATAACTAATTCCTATTAATAGGCAAATTGACAAAAAGTAAATAATCATAATCTTACAAATTTTCACTTTATATAATAAGTTATTTTTTCAAGTACAAATAAGTGGATTGTTGCGGAACTTATGGGTGGACCTCTGCGGGACGAGCGCAGCGAGTTCCGCAGCCATCTACTCATTAATATACTATATTGAACTGTTTAAGTAAGACATTCACCTGAAATGTGTAGTTTTTGAATTAATAAGAATAATTCACATTTAAATGAATTAAGTTATTATCGTTATTACACAACATATTGATAAATAGATGGCTGCGGAACTCGCTGCGCTCGTCCCGCAGAGGTCCACCCATAAGTTCCGCAACAATCCACTTATTTGTACTTGAAAAAATAACTTATTATATAAAGTGAAAATTTGTAAGATTATGATTATTTACTTTTTGTCAATTTGCCTATTAATAGGAATTAGTAATGTTACTTTACCAAACTAATAACCTAATGTGACAAATTATTCAAGTACAAATGAGTGGATTGTTGCGGAACTTATGGGTGGACCTCTGCGGGACGAGCGCAGCGAGTTCCGCAGCCATCTATTTATCAATATGTTGTGTAATAACGATAATAACTTAACTCATTTAAATGTGAATTATTCTTATTAATTCAAAAACTACACATTTCAGGTGAATGTCTTACTTAAACAGTTCAATATAGTATATTAATGAGTAGATGGCTGCGGAACTCGCTGCGCTCGTCCCGCAGAGGTCCACCCATAAGTTCCGCAACAATCCACTCGTTTGTACTTGAATAACTTGTCACATTACATTACTAGTTTGGTAAAATAACTAATTCCTATTAATAGGCAAATTGACAAAAAGTAAATAATCATAATCTTACAAATTTTCACTTTATATAATAAGTTATTTTTTCAAGTACAAATAAGTGGATTGTTGCGGAACTTATGGGTGGACCTCTGCGGGACGAGCGCAGCGAGTTCCGCAGCCATCTACTCATTAATATACTATATTGAACTGTTTAAGTAAGACATTCACCTGAAATGTGTAGTTTTTGAATTAATAAGAATAATTCACATTTAAATGAATTAAGTTATTATCGTTATTACACAACATATTGATAAATAGATGGCTGCGGAACTCGCTGCGCTCGTCCCGCAGAGGTCCACCCATAAGTTCCGCAACAATCCACTTATTTGTACTTGAAAAAATAACTTATTATATAAAGTGAAAATTTGTAAGATTATGATTATTTACTTTTTGTCAATTTGCCTATTAATAGGAATTAGTAATGTTACTTTACCAAACTAATAACCTAATGTGACAAATTATTCAAGTACAAATGAGTGGATTGTTGCGGAACTTATGGGTGGACCTCTGCGGGACGAGCGCAGCGAGTTCCGCAGCCATCTATTTATCAATATGTTGTGTAATAACGATAATAACTTAACTCATTTAAATGTGAATTATTCTTATTAATTCAAAAACTACACATTTCAGGTGAATGTCTTACTTAAACAGTTCAATATAGTATATTAATGAGTAGATGGCTGCGGAACTCGCTGCGCTCGTCCCGCAGAGGTCCACCCATAAGTTCCGCAACAATCCACTCGTTTGTACTTGAATAACTTGTCACATTACATTACTAGTTTGGTAAAATAACTAATTCCTATTAATAGGCAAATTGACAAAAAGTAAATAATCATAATCTTACAAATTTTCACTTTATATAATAAGTTATTTTTTCAAGTACAAATAAGTGGATTGTTGCGGAACTTATGGGTGGACCTCTGCGGGACGAGCGCAGCGAGTTCCGCAGCCATCTACTCATTAATATACTATATTGAACTGTTTAAGTAAGACATTCACCTGAAATGTGTAGTTTTTGAATTAATAAGAATAATTCACATTTAAATGAATTAAGTTATTATCGTTATTACACAACATATTGATAAATAGATGGCTGCGGAACTCGCTGCGCTCGTCCCGCAGAGGTCCACCCATAAGTTCCGCAACAATCCACTTATTTGTACTTGAAAAAATAACTTATTATATAAAGTGAAAATTTGTAAGATTATGATTATTTACTTTTTGTCAATTTGCCTATTAATAGGAATTAGTAATGTTACTTTACCAAACTAATAACCTAATGTGACAAATTATTCAAGTACAAATGAGTGGATTGTTGCGGAACTTATGGGTGGACCTCTGCGGGACGAGCGCAGCGAGTTCCGCAGCCATCTATTTATCAATATGTTGTGTAATAACGATAATAACTTAACTCATTTAAATGTGAATTATTCTTATTAATTCAAAAACTACACATTTCAGGTGAATGTCTTACTTAAACAGTTCAATATAGTATATTAATGAGTAGATGGCTGCGGAACTCGCTGCGCTCGTCCCGCAGAGGTCCACCCATAAGTTCCGCAACAATCCACTCGTTTGTACTTGAATAATTTGTCACATTAGGTTATTAGTTTGGTAAAGTAACATTACTATGTGATACTGTAAAATATTTACGACGAAATTCGACTCAATATCAATTTTTTTTTTCATCAATTTAAATTAACTGTCAAATGTCAAATGTCAAAATCCAATAAAATGTCGATTTTTTCGAAATGTTGACATGGATTAACATATTGACTCATAACTTTGTCAATTTTGAACCGATTTTAAGATAATTAGGCTTAAAATGAAGCCAATTGAATTATCTACATATATGTGATTTTTGTTTGGCCCCAAATTCAACATAAAATGCCAAAAAAATCCAATTTTTTAAAAGACTTTTACAGTCAATTTTGCAGCAAGTTTTCAATTAAAATTAATGACCCGGCCTGGAATTTTGTGTATTTTTCAAGCAAAACACTTCATTAAATACTTTAAAACACTTCAGAATTGAAATCGCCCCAAAAACTCCAAAATTATGCAAAAAACCCGTGACGTGAGCTCTAAATATCAATAAAAGACGCCATGACAGTACCAACTGATAAAAAAAAAATGCAAAAAAACTTAAAACTTACGAGTTTTAATCGAACTCAAAGGCCCGGCCTGAAATTTTGTGTTTTTTCAATGCAAAACACTCTAATAAACACTCTAAAACACTTTATAGAATTAAAATCGCCCCAAAAACCCCAAAATTGAGCAAAAAAAACACGGGACATGAGCCCCAAATACCATCAAAAGACGCCATGACAGTACCAACTGATAAAAAAAAAATGCGAAAAACTTGAAATTGACTAGTTTTAATCAAAACTAAAAGCCCGCCCTGGAATTTTGTGTATTTTCAACTCAAAACACTCCAATAAACACTCTAACACACTTTTTAGAATTTAAATCGTCCCAGAAACCACAAAATTAAGCAAAAAACCTGGGACATGAGCCCCAAATAACATCAAGAGACGCCATGACAGTACCAACTGATAAAAAAAAAAATGCGAAAAAACTTGAAACTTACCAGTTTCAATCGAAATCAAAGGCCCGGACTGGAATTTTGTGTCTTTTCAACGCGAAACACTCTAACACACTTTTTAGAATTCAAAATCGCTGCAAAAACCCCAAAATTGAGTGAAAAACCCGGGAAGTGAGCTCCAAATAACATCAAAAGACGTCATGACAGTACCAACTGCCAAAAAAAAATCCAAAGCCTACTTGCCCCATTTTATAGTGTTGCCACATCAATATTTTATTATAATTAAAATTGCCTAAAAAAGTCAAAAAATCTCAAACAAATTTTCTTTATTCCAGAACATTTATCCGAAGCCATCCAAACGAGCTGCGCTAAATGCAGCGAGGCGCAGAAACGGGGCAGCCGCAAAATCATCCGCCACCTTTTGAAGAACAAACGCAGCTGGTGGAACGAACTCCAAGCCAAATACGACCCGGAGGGCGTCTACGTTAAAATGCACGCCGAAGAATTAAAGGCCGAAGGAATCACCCTGTAGAATTTAATAATTAATTAATAAATTAATTATGTTTTTTAGACCTTTGATTTGTTATAAATTAATATAAGATGTTTGAGCAGAGGGCATTTTAAGTCAATATACAAAAATGATGAAGCTTCTATTAGTTATTTTATTATTTGTTGCGATTCATGCCCAAGAAACCAAATAGTCGCAGAGACGAGGTCTTAACTGAGACAAAATTTGAGTAACAGGCTGAAAATTTCATATATTATGGTTTTCAACATTCTAAATCGATCTACGCATGAATTTTAACTATTAGTCCCCTGCTTAAGGGTGAAAAAAAATATTTAAGGGTTGAAACTTGAATATTATGCAAACGAATGAGAAATCGGGAAAAAAAACCAAAACAAATGTAAGAGCTTCTAAAATTTCGCGTTAAAAACGTTTGAAGTTTTTTTCTCTATCATTTATCGTTAACCCTTTAGCTAATTTCAAAGTTTCGCTACCGAGAAAAATAGGAGAATCCCGCAGGGGCACCACTGACGCCGCGCTCGGCAAATGCATAACGTGATAAACTTTGGTGATACTCAGTCATTTTTCCATCGACTTTTTTTGTCAGGATTCGAATAATTAAATAACAGACAAAATAAATTCAAGGGACAAAGCACTGTTTTACCTAATAAAAAATTTGTTTCGTTATATTATTCATAATTTATATTCACGTTTCTACAGTGTGTCCACTTAAGTTCGCAGCATATGGAAAACTTTTTTATTATCAATTTTAAGAAAAAAAGTTATTCTTTATAAAAGTTTCTGCTTCTTGAAAAAATAACTACTAAAACTTGGAATAGCATGTACAGAGTGGTCAGAAAATAGAAAAATATAGAGAATTTTTTGGTAAAAAACGGCGAAAGTAGAAAAATAATGACACGAGTTACATACGGCTCTACATTGTATATTTTATTTAATCAGCATATTATTTTTCATTAGCTTGCATTCTGTATTCTCTTTTTGTAGCTTCTACTTGCCGAGCGTCGTCAGGCAGAGCTTTGCATTCACTTTCGACGCTTCGAATTTTAATAAATTTTAAACGTAAAAATATTGTAATAGTTTTAAGTGAAATAAATTTGTTTTTAAAAAATCGTACATCGCGTACTGATTTGTAACTGGCGCAGTCGGTAGGATAGTCAGGAATCAATACATCGAGTATCGATTTATCGTGAAACGGTCAACTGGCTATCCGAAAGAACTTACGGTTCGGGATTTTGATTGAACATCAGAAACTTTCGACCGTGACTACGAAAAGTGTTCGTGTGCGTAAAGCAATTAATTGGGGATTGTTTCGCGACGGCATTTTGAGAATTGATAACAAACTCTATCAATTCTGCGAGGACTTAGTGCTTTTGGACTTGGATTACAAAATTGCCACCAGAGGACTGAGGCCTTATAGTACCACCTAGACATAAGAAGAAAACTCTATGGCACGAAAATTGATAGCATATTTTATGTAAGTGCAATTTGTAAATGTCTGATTTGGACGATTTAATTAACTCTTTTGAAAGTATTGAGATAAACGATAATAGCTCTGACTCCGCTTCAAATACAGAAGTGTTAACTGATCAATCTAATAATCAATTAGAAACTGAAGGTAATATTGATCAATTAGAAAGTGAAAATAATATTTTACCTATTGATAGCTCAAACTTAGATTTAACTGCTTTTGCACAAACTATAACGCTTTTGCGAAGTCAACAAAATTTAAACTTTTCTCCTTTAAATATTGCTACAGTAAATTTACCAGTAACTATGGCTCAATTTAAACCCGAATATTTAAGTTGTGTCCCAAAATTCGAGGGAAACCCTTGCGAGCTAAACAGATATTTAGCGACTTGCAAATCTCTCATAGATAATTTTTATGATACTGTAAATGTAAATTGTTTCCAAAATATATTTTTAATAAACTCTCTTATAGGTAAACTTTCTGGCAATGCTAGATTAGTGGTTAATGTTCAGAATGTCTCCACCTGGGACGGTCTAAAAAATACATTGACTAGACATTTCGCGGACAGACGTGACGAGTCTTGTTTGAATAGAGACCTTGTTTTAACCAAACAAAATGCTAACGAGATCCCTCAATCTTACTATGATAGAATTCTCGAATTACTTAATTTACTCTGCAGTTACGTAGATGCTCACGACGATGTGGCTACTGCCCAAATAAAACGAAATTTGTATACAGAACTTGCTTTAAAAACATTCTTGGCCGGTTTAAGAGAACCTTTAGGCAACACAATTCGTTGTATGTCACCAAAAGATTTAGCTGATGCCATACAACTTGTTATTCGAGAGAGTAACACAAAATATTTCCAAAATCAACCCAATCACAATAATAGCAATGCAAATCATACAAAACCAAAACCTCAACAACATCAATTTCGATTTAATGGCCCAACCAGAAATTTTGGTTATAATAACTATACACCAAATCAGTTTAAGCAGCCCTTGCCGTCACAACCTATCAATATTAGACCTAATGCAAACATCCGCCCACAAAAATTCTTTTCTAACTCCCAAGTTTTTGGTAAACCAAAACCAACAAACGTATTTAGACAAAATCCTGGAAAAATCTTGCCAAAGCCCACACCAATGTCAGGTGTAAGTTTCCAAAACACCCAAAATTTCACACCAGTGGCTCAAGCATCAAATTTCCAGCAACCACAACAACAGTACCAGCAACAGCCCAAATATGCATTTGAAGAATTATTTACTACAGAACTAGATCCAACTTCTGAAGAATATCAATACAGTTATTCAAACGTCATCAATCAAACGTACCCCGAAAATAATGCAAATTATGATGAACAGCAGATCTATAACCCCGAAAATTCTTATTATTATTATGCTGACCCAGCACAGATAAATTATACAAATGAAACTCAAGAAGAACCGACCACATCAAATCAGGCTGTGGAATCAAATTTTCAGGAATCAGCCGAAGACAATCAGAATATTTGACGGAATCGCCCCCAGTGATTTCATTAAATTTAAACAACACCAGTGAACTCTCATACATAGTGTTTCCTGAATACAACGTCAAAATTTTAATTGATTCAGGTTCCACGAAATCTTTTATTGACCCAAATATAGCATTTAAATTATTTCCGAATTTCGTTATTAACGATCCTTTCGTCGTTAGTACGGTATTCCAGAAATCAGCCCATAAATATAGTGCTAACATACCAGCACCTAAAATATTTAATTTACCCAAAAAAGGAAAACTCAAATTTTACCTATTCAAATTCCATAACATTTTTGATGGTTTGATAGGCCTTGACAATTTAAAATTATTACAAGCAAATGTTGATTTTAATAGTGGTTACCTTATTACGCCCTATGCAAAGATCAAATTAAAATATCAACAAACACAAAACGAACTTAATTGCATTACTGTTGAAGCGAGAACAGAAAAAGTAATTAAAATCAAAACATCTATAAAAAATGGCGAAATTATTGTTCCCTATATGAAATTACACAATATTGAAATACCCGAATCACTAACAATCGCAAAAGATGGCTATGCAATAACAACAATCTTAAATAACTCTTGCGAGCCAATTACTTTAGATTTTTCAGAACAAATAGAAGTAGACCCTTTTGAAAGAAATAATATCGAGATGATAGATTTAAATAATTTTGACGAATCACCCAAACAAAGACTAGATTTATCAAAAATTCGTGTTGATCATCTTAATGATGAAGAAAAATACAAAACTTTGGAACTGTGTGAAGAATTTTCAGATATTTTCTATCAAGAAAATACACCTCTATCTTTCACTAGTAACTTGAAACATCATATACAAACGACAGATGAGACTCCAATTTATACTAAAACTTACAGATACCCGTTCATCCATCGCCAAGAAGTAAGAAATCAAATAGAAAAAATGTTAGATCAAAAAATTATAAGACCTTCAAATTCTCCCTGGTCCTCACCAATTTGGGTGGTACCAAAAAAATTAGATGCTACAGGAAAGCAAAAATGGCGTGTAGTCGTGGACTACAGAAAACTGAACGAAAAGACAATCGATAACAAATACCCGCTACCAAATATCACGGATCTTTTAGTTTAGACAAATTAGGTAGATGCCAGTATTTTACAACATTAGACCTTGCATCAGGCTTTCACCAGATTGAAATGAATGAAGCCGACATACAAAAAACGGCCTTCAACACTGAAAATGGGCACTACGAGTACCTTAGGATGCCCTTCGGTCTGAAGAATGCGCCTGCTACCTTTCAAAGCATAATGGATTCAATTTTAAGGGGTATTCAAAATGAAAAATGTTTGGTATACCTAGATGATATCATTATTTTCTCGACATCCTTATAGGAACATCTAAATAACTTGAGAAATGTTTTCCAACGGCTACGTGACTCTAATTTCAAGATCCAGCTTGATAAAAGCGAATTTTTGCGTCGCGAAGTCGCATACCTGGGTCATATTGTGACGCCAGAGGGAGTCAAACCAAACCCCGATAAAATTAAAGCAATTAAGCAGTATCCGATACCGAAGACTACAAAGCAAATTAAAGGATTCCTAGGACTGTTAGGCTACTACCGGAGATTTATTAACAATTTTGCAAAAGTTACGAAACCTCTCACCAAATGTTTGAAGAAAGGCGCTAAAATCAATCATGACGAAGAATTTATTAACTGTTTCAAAATGTGCAAAAATTTACTAACAAATGAACCCATACTCCAGTATCCTGACTTTTCAAAACCTTTTAATTTGACAACAGACGCGAGTAACTTGGCCTTAGAAGCAGTACTTTCCCAAGGGCCAATTGGACAAGATTTACCGATCGCCTATGCCTCACGCACGCTCAACGACTCTGAGTGCAACTATTCTACGATAGAAAAGGAATGTTTGTGTCTTGTTTGGGCAACCAAATATTTCCGCCCTTATCTCTATGGCAGAAAATTTAACATCATTACAGACCACAAACCGCTTCAATGGCTTTTTTCAGTTAAAGAACCAACTTCAAAA